GTTACAAAAGAGGACTGACTGCAAGCAGGTCATTAGTTGAGGCAGTCTGGCCCATGGGGGATGGCCTATTTCTACGGCTTGAAGACCACAAGAATTTATCATGCTGTTGCAATCACCTGAAGCTTTTTTCATTTTGTATTTCTGATTTTTAAGCCTATTTGCATTGAAATAATTCACTGGGATGGAAGCCAGAACAATTGAAATCAACAGAGAAACACACACAAAACAAAAATGAAAATGTTGGACCAAGATTTTAAGGATCCATGTATAGAAATTGACCAAAAAGAATCATTAATTTGTTGATTATTGTTACTTGTGTAATTTTCTGCTTCAACTTGGTGGATACAACAAATATGCATATAAGAACTCATTCCAGACATCAGGGACTCCAGGAAGGCACCAATGCGTACAATCTGTATGGTAATTAGGTGTTGTTAATTGCTCGTGAGTTAGTTGATCCCAGAATTTTCTATGCATTGATGGATGTGCATCTTTTCTATATTCAGAAAGTTGTGTGATGTTCAGCATCTGTGCATTGAAACCTTGGCTGCTCAACTTGTTGATGTATTTTTCCACTAACCGCATCATGTTTGGATCAGAATCCATGCTCCAGTACCCTTCTTCATATATAGGCTCTGTCTCGTAAAAGCATTTGTGCTTCTTAGGTTTTCCCCATTCTTCAGCCCTGTCATGCATAATGCCTCTTTAAGAAAATTCCCTTTCAAGTTAAGCAAGGATATCTTTTTCCTTGTAATCATAACAAATCAAAAAGAGATCCTACCCCAGATAAAAAACAAAAAAGCTCAAAAAGAACAGAAAAAGAAAGCGGCGAAGAAGAAGAGCAGAGTTGGATAAATTAACTTCAAAATTAGGACTAATTGTACGTATTAGCAATTTAGCATGCCTGTTATGAGTGGGGGATGAGCTAACAAAGAAGACTCTGGTCTTAGAACGATTGACGTGACTATCTAGCCACTCAAACCATGTTGTAAGAGCCATTTCATACGCCTTTAGCATCTCTACATCCTCGTAAATTCGATCAGCATCAACATTTTCGAATGATCCCCACCTGATAAAGTCAGAAGCAATGGACTTTTTATCTATGATGATTAAAAATTGGTCTCCAATCAATGAGTTTGATTCAGAGCTGGAGATGTATGTACTCACAAGATTTTTAGTTTGAGCTGTCTCCACCAAATATAGGAGTTAAATACAAGAACATCTGCGTCATTCCAGTTTCTGGCATGCTTTTCAATTGACTGCCCTCTTATAATCCTCTCAGACACACGATGGTTTGTTGGATCATCACAATTTGATTCCAACAACATTGGCTCCCAATAGAAGTCAATTGAAACATTGTACTCCTTTAACATATACATGAACAAATAACAGACGTCAACACAAACTGTCTGAAAAAGATGGGATATGCTATAAATGACGTGATCTTATTATCGTGTTTGGAGACAAAATTCTTATAAGTAGTAACCGTCATAAATACTTAAAGAAAGTTAATAGTGATTTGTGTTTTGGTTAATAGGATTAATGCACAATATTACATTGTGGTTCAACATTCAATAGTTTTCTTTTTTTTTTTTTCCTTTCATTTCTTCATGCCAAATAAAATCATGTTTGAATCCAAACGAATGCTGGACTCAGAACGTGACTTACCAAGGCTTTGAAAGCAATTAGGGAGCCATTGTAGTGAAGTGTTTTCGGTCTGTCAGGGATGGAAGACTCAATTAAACAGACCATTGACATCCATTGATTCCTATTTAGTGAATCTCCGACATACACAACCCTCTTATTCCTTAGCTTCTCCAACAAATCAATGGCGTCAAACCTTAATTAATTCAAAACAAAGAAACACCATCATTTTTGTCCAGATCTTCAGGACAGTCAAGAACGCGTGTTTGCGTGAAAATTTGAAAGGGAACAGGAGAGCACAGTACCTGGGGAGATCACAATGATGTGGTTGCCATCTCCAATACTGATAGTTGAGGTTCTTTCTCCCGTACATTTCACAAGCCAATTCTTCATTCATCAAAGAACATTGTCGGCCTTTGTACAGAGGGTAAGATTTGTTATCAAAAACCCATCTACCTGAAAACAAATCACAGCTTGAGAATGCGGTTTGACCAGTTGTATCACTAGTAATCTCATTTATCATATCCTTCTTCTGATCATATACTTCAGTACTACTACTACTACGACTACTACTACTACTAGTCCTGCTGATTTCCCTGGAAACGTACGCAGCCATGAGTAGAAAGAACATGGCGACTACAAAAGCAATCTGCAAGTGAAGAAAATTGAATTTCATCCCCAAGCTACTGGCAGCAATAAATTGCTTTCTGGTTTCTTTCATTTTTTCTGTAGCTGCCTCGGTGCTGAGACTGTCAATGCTACTATCTCGGGTGTCTGACTGCTGCAGCTATTGTAGTGGTCCTCCCGGATATGGTCTCAAGTTGGTCTTCGAGTAATAAAGGGTTGTCTCCATTGCTTGACGAATGATTTCATATCATGTTGCTTATACTCTTGTGGAATGCAAATCATAAAGTCTTTGGGGGGTAGCTTAGGACGGATCAAAATATTTTTTACTCGAAAATTTGATTGAAAGCTAAGCAAATCCGAAGCCAGCTAGATTATCCACGTACTGTAGTGTAGTATCTTACCGGCAGTTTGGATTGGTTTAGGAAAACTGAGAGCGGATTTCTTCTCATGGTCAATGCATTTTCTTGCATTGCTTTGTCGCCAAGTTGTTGGAACTCCATAGGATCCTTATTTATTCCACGAACTAACAACTCCATAATTTTCTATTTGACAAGGCCCACGGGTGTCGCCAGGCCAGACATATTTTATTACCAGGTTTCCTAAAGCATTCTTTACTAGTGACTAATTAGGGGTCATTATGGTTGTACCTGCCTAAAGTAAAGTTTCTTGGCGTATTTTCAGGTACACGCCAAAAATCAAGAATTAATGGAAACCCAATATATTAAAGAATTTAGAGGGAGGGGGGCAAGTGAAAGTTGGAAACCTACCAAGAAAATTTGCAACATAGATGTTGATTACAGCAATCTTTTTTTTTTTTTTTTTCTCCTCTTTGTTTGGATTTTTATACTGTAAATTAAAGCATCCCATATTTCCTGAGGAATGAGTGAAGCAATTGTGGCTGCTCTTGGAAGGATCAGATGCTTTAAGGATAATCAGTCACCACAAAGGATGTAGTAGAAATTTTGCAGAAGCCCAAGTGGCAATTCTTAAATTATTTGAGGCTTCAACCTCCCAATAACTCACAAAGCCAAAAGTGGCACATCAAATAATTGTTTCGTTTTATAGCGAAAAAAAAAAATTAAAGAAATAGTATAGGAGGATATGCATTGACATTACAAAAAAAAAAAAAAAAACAAAAACAAAAAAAGGGTCCATTACATTATTAGTGTCCTACAATGAGTTAGTTATTCTCATCAAATCTTCCATAAGAAGTGATTTAACAAAATTACGCCTTGTTTGGATCGTGATTTTTTCACAGAAAATTTTTATATTTTTTAAACACATTTTCTAGTCAACTTTTATCTCATATATATATATGAAATCGGTACAGTATATTTTTTTTCTACAAAACTCTTAAAAATAGCAATCCAAACAGGTTTTAGGGGCTACATGCATAAATCTTCGGTAGGAAGCGATTTAACAAATTCTGGGGCATAGAATAACATCAAGCAGCAAAATTCAAGCTATTTTTGGCGCAAGAGTTTCCTTCTCGCTATTGAGCTGCAGGATTAGTGTGTTAGCGCAATACAAGACATTCCTTTCCTACGGACCAATAACGAGCCACAAAAGCACCTTCAATCACGTTTCCAAAAGCGCAGAGAAAAATTTTCACTCTACTTTCCATTATTCGGCGCCGCATTACCATTTGTACCTTTTCACCCTTGCCAACTATAATGGGCCTAACGATGAAATTGAAATGGATGAATGCGACTGGAATTCATTGGACCTGCCCCAATCAATCAGTGTCATCACAATCAATGTAATCTCCCGCAGTCGCAAAAACTGGTACTGGAACGAGTTTTTTACACAGACAGGAGAAGACTATACATGACAAACTCTACGCTCATCACATTTTTTTTTTTCACTTTACAACACAGATTTCGATTGGGCCCCTAGAGCCTTTGGACGACGCGGGATTGCAGAATTTATGTTTGCCAATACTTTTTTTTTTTAATATACTTTTTCTCTTTCTCCATGTCTTTTGACTCCACCAAAGGCAGTAGCAAGGACCAAAGAAAAAAAGGGCATGTCTCATTTATTTTTCCCAAGCCAATGATTTTGTTTATCATGGTGCTCTAAATATTTCATTGCTTATCGTAATTGCTGCAAATCAGTTAGCATCACTTTCTACTGGAACGCGTATGTTTGAATGCGAAAGTCAAATTTTCGCACACTAAAGATGTAAACAAATCGAGTCAATTCTGAATAGTGTTATACTTGAGTTCGAGTTCGACTTGATACATCACTGCTTGAGATCGAACTTGACTCAATCGAGCTTGAAATTCTACAAATTGAACTCGATTCGCTAATATTTTCTGAAATGCTTGAATTCAACTCATTTGGGTTTCTGAAATGCTCGAATTCAACTCAATTGGGTTCGAGTAAACTCAAACTCAAAAGAGTTCAAACTCGAGTTCGATTACAAAAAAAGATATTTTGGATACTCAACTCGTTTGATTAAACAAGCCGCTTGAGATAGACTCGAATTCGGTCAATGCCTAGTCGAATCGATCGTTTGACCGATCAGCTCGTAAGTAGCTCGCGAGCTGATTGGTTCATTTACACTCCTATTCACACATACACCATGAAATTGTTCATGTGTTTTTTCCCTTATTTACGAGTTGATTGGTTCGTTTACACTTCTATTCGCACCTGCACCTTGAAATTGTTCATGTGCTTTCTTCCCCTTGAAAAAACATACACTACACAATATCTTCTGACTCTCAAAATTGGCAATAAACTAGAAATCAATTCATTGTCGGTGTTTTATTAGTGCAAATCCAATAATAAATCGCATCAAATACATGTATTGGTCTTGATGGGTCACACACAACAGTTATTTATGCTTAAACGAGGACGGTAATTCGGTAGTCCCCTGTTTGGCTTTAGGCAAAAGGTCTCTGATTGTAGCAATCCAAATTGTTCCCGTAGCCGATTCCAAATAGGTCACAGTACCTCTTGTAGAATCCAATCCGATCAGCGACCTTATCATTAGTACCCATGCCACACTCGAGTCCACCGTTAATAATGTTGGTGATGACCCCGTATCCTGGGACTCGGCCAGCCGACGTGTCAGCACCAGATGGGGTCCATGCCCCAGTGATGACGTCATGGCATGAGGGCTTGTTTGACTGTGGTGTCATCCAGAACCAAATTGCTGTCTTGAAGGATATAACGGCGTCCGTTGCCACCAAGTCTGGATTGTTTATGAGGTCAGCTCCGATTGCTTGGCCAGCTAAACCGTAGTTGTAATTGCTGAAAGTTTAAAAAAAAAAAAAGAAAGTGTTATGCAAGTCAATTGCCAAAGTTACCTATAAAGTTCCAATGAGGTAGGCTGATGAATTAATCTTGTTGTGTCATTTAAGGGAGGGCAGAATCTTCAAGAAGTTTAAATTTGGGCCAAAAGCTGATAAGAACTCCAGAATAGGTGTTAAATAAAATCAAAATCTACATTACTAATATGTGAATTGCTTTCTGGCAAATGTCTTACCCTCCTTAGTTTTAAGCAGATTATAGTTACACGGGTTTTTTTTTTTTTTCATGTGGAGAATTTCATTTGTCGATCAGCTGTTAAGGTAGAAGACAAGTAGCAGACTACTAGAAAACTTACTGAGTCAATTGTATTGGTCCTCTGCCGTAGTATTGTTTACCAGCAGGACACGGCCAGGATGGAGAATCGCAGAAAGACCCAGAGGCGCCATTTTCGGTTATGAAGCAATATCCCCAAGCATAAGGACCATCTGGTGCACTAGGCCATCCACCTACACATGATTGAAATCCATTTAGCAACGTAGAACTCAAAGAAAACGAAGAGGAAAATGTAATTTAATTGTTTGATCAATCGTGCCGGGAAAGAACAAAACATAGAGATCGATCAAGCCGGACCTGTAGTCTCATGTGAAGTCTGTCCCAGAAATGCAGCAATTTCTCGTTTTTGAGTTTCATCATTACCAGTTGTTGCAAAGCCCGGGAAGGATTGTGCAGCAGTGATAAAAGCGTTGTAACTATAGAACCCATTGCTGGGGCATCTTGGATCGTTACGGTATTTCAGCATTTGATCAAAAAGAGCTTGACTGATGAGGGAGGAAATGCCTGTACCACTGCCGGGGCCAGGGGTTGAACCACCACCGCCGGGGCTAGGGGTTGAACCACTGCACTGGCTCTGGCAATTGTTAGAGGGAGAGCAGTAGTCGGGGGTGGAGCCACACCAACCATACTGGCTACAGCACAGCCCATTTGGGCACAGAGCATTCCCTGCCTGTCTTCCACATTGTTCTGCTAGTGATGATGTTGTGAACAATGGGGCTAGAGTTAACAGAATCAAAATCCAATTCCTCATGTTTTGTTGCCTCTCAATTGTGGTTTAATTTTGTGGATTAATATAGAGCTTTAGAGGAATTCCTTGTGGGCACGTAAAGAGGCTCAGACCGTGTTCTTTGATTATTCTTGAAAATTCCAAGTCAATTTTGGCAGCTTAAGGACTTGGGACATTCACTGGAACGTCATAGTCACACCGGCATATTTCTTGATGATCGATACCGTCACTTAAGATAATGCTTAGTTGTGGTCCCTGGAATTTTTTGACGCAGTCAGGTCTCAAGTTTATATATATAACGATTCTAGCTGGACAGCCGAAATTTGTTTAATAGTACTTGTAATTGAGTAATTAGTTTAGATAAGATTGAAGGTTGGAAAATTGGAATGCCTCCGGAAGTTTGGAATTAGTCAATTCTCAAGAAAGTCAGCAGCATTTAGGACAGGGGGGGGGAGGGTATATCCTGGACTTGTGCACATCCCAGTCCGATAGAGCCATTTGAAATGCAAAATTCCCACGCGATAGAGCCATTTGAAAGGCAGGAACTTGGAGGATCGGTGTTTGGAACAAGTCAATTCCCAAGAAAGTCTAGGGGACAGCATGTCCTGCACACAGCAACCGCGAAAATGTGTCTTTAGGAGTTTGATCTTCATCCAGATTCTGATTCTTCAAATTATATTTGATATCAAGTGAATGGTATTCCCCTATCCTATGCACTATGTGGTACGTATTGCACAATTCTTTAGTGTTGTAGAGGTCTTTATTCCGCTAAATCAATGAGGGTGCAAGAAATTTGCTACATGCGTTCTAGAATTTCCTCTGAATTTTTCTACCCTACTTTTGCATTTTATTCAGACAATATTTGGTCTCATATTTTCTCAGGATTTGATGAAAGGGTAGCAATCCAGATTACTTCCGTAGCCGATTTTGAATACATCACAATATCTCTTGTAGAAACCAATCCGATCAGCCACCTTAGCATTAGTACCCATGCCACAGTCGACTCCACCGTTAATAATGAGTGTGTTTGGATTGTAAGTTATTTGAAATATTTTTACTGTAACACTTTTTATGATGTGATGTATGTGAGATAAAAAGATAATTGAGAAGATAAAAAGGTGTATTGAAAATTGTAATGATGATGTCAGCAAATATATTTGGCCAAATAATTGGCTGTCCAAACACACTCAATGTTGGTGATGACCCCGTAACCTGAAGCCCTACCAGCCGCCCTATCAGCACTGGATGGGGTCCATCCCCCAGTAATGACGGCGTGGCTTGAAGGTTTGTTTCCCTGCGGCGTCATCCAGAACCAGATTGCCGTCTTGAATGAAACCACAGCATCTGTTGCTACCAAGTCCGGATTGTTTATGAGATATCCACTCCAATTGCTCTGCCGGCTTTTCCATAGTTAAAGTTGCTGGTGAAAGAAGGAAAGAAAAGATGTAAAATCAATGCCCAAGGTCAAGAATAACTGATCTTTTTGACACCATGCATTTAATTAGTTTAAATTGATAGTAGGAACTAGCAAGTACTCCGCAAGTTTGAGATTCCTTCATGTCATGGTGGCTTTGTTTAGGTTTCCTTAATCCTAGCCATCAGTTTAAAATTCCATCCCATGGGGTGGCGACGTAAGTTAGGTTACCTAAAAAAAAAGATGCTATGAAGTTTAAAACGGCTAGCAAGTGATCAAAGTTTCATTACCAATTTTTTTTGTCTTCTGCTTATTAAAGTCCACAACGGAAACATGATAATATGTGATTTGTTTGTCTTGACTTCTTGTTTTTATCCTAGTCAATTTGAAATTTCTTTTGAATGTAATCATCTGTCTACTAGTAATAAATGAATCATGCCCAAGTATTTCCACTCCACTAGAGCTGTCTGTCAACGGATCATCGAAAATTTCGAACCCGAACCCATTATATCTGACGAGTCTGGTGTTTAGGGTTCCGGAACCAGGTTCAACAGTCCTGGGTCCGAGTCTATCGGAAAAAATAAAACCCAACAAAAATAATGTATTTTGAAATATTATTGTATTTTGAAATATTCATATTATTGTATTTACAAATGATGTATATAGAAATATTATTATATTTAGAAATAAGGCCCCAACAAGATTAGGATTTGTTAATTTAGTAAAAGAATTATTATTGTATTTATAAATATTTATATTTTATAATTATTAATATATTGTTTAGGTCCAAATCGGATATGAGTCGGAATCTTATATTCCATATCTGATCCACTTTTTATGAGAGTAAACGAGTTGAGTAACGGAATTATTTCTTAATCCATACCCAGAAAAGCAAAAAATTCAGGTGGAGTCCAAACCTGGCCTATTGACAGCCCTCTCTCCAGTAAAAACATTCAAAAAGTTGAACAGGGTACTACTGAGTATATGAATTATAATACTACGTGAATTCATGTAGGCTGCATGCTAAAAACGCTAGATTCCAAAACTCAGAGCAAAATATGCGTCCAAGGTAAAAACCATGAAGTATACGTTCGATAGATTTGTACTCTAATTAACTCAATATCATTTCATTTGGTGAGCTTTCCAGGGTTCAGAGCCAAAAGAAATTTATTTTTATTTGTCAAAATAGAATTTTGGATGATTAAACGCCAAGATTAAGGTGTAGCCAACGTCCATTTACGGATTGATAAGCATTGTGCAAAACTGGCAATCCGAATTTATTAGTTTTTGCTCCAACATGTTGATCTCTAATGAGCTACGCTTACTGTAATATATACTCCTTACATTTCCCTAGAAGTTCGACTTGCATGGATTTTACTCTGTGTATAAAATTTCAGTATCAATTGTGACCAACTAGTTACTAAACTTACTGAGTGAGTTGTATGGGGGTATCTGTTGAGTGTGTCTTTGTATCTCACATCAGGACTTTTATAAAGAAATATCTCCTCTCAGTGGTTATAAATATAGTGGACTTAAGTTAGTTTAATTGTGCTAAGGGCACCAGCCCAAGTGCCATGTGCACCAGTGCAAGAGAGTTTTGAGGGGCCCGCGCCCCAATGTGAGAGGAGTTTTGGTTTGGCATCAAACCAAAAGAGCAAGTCATGGGCCTTTGGACCATTAACCATTTAGTGTTATTTAGGCTCTTTTGTGTTTTCAGTTTAGATGCCTTTTGCGCTTGGGAATTATTTTCTAAGGTTTTGTGCTCTCTTTTTGTCATAGTAAATTTGCTATCTCTTTGCTCGTGGACGTAGGTCAATTTGACCGAACCACGTAAATTTCGTGTTTCTCTGTTTGACTTATTTGTTCTATTATTGTCATTATTGAATTGACAAGGACCATATTGTTTTCGTTGGTCAATTTCCTGGGACCAGACCTAACAAACTGGTATCAGAGCTTCAGGTTCCAGATTCAGCTTCAAGTTTTGGGTCATGGTCAGATTTTTGGTTCTTGATGACAATAACAAGTTTTTGGTGCCACAGAGAGTGAAAAAAAAATTATTTTTTTTTAGAGTTCAGTTGGGTTTTTGAAAAGAGTTATTTGACCCGTTGGAACTCATTGAAGGTTTTGAGAAGAAGGTAGAGCATGATTACTATGTTCGTTAGGGGTGGGCAAAAAAATCCGAAAATCCGAAAACCCGAGAGATCCGATCCGATCCGCACCGAAAAATCGGATACCCGATCCGATTTCAATCAGCGGATCAGATAGGGTCGGGTACCCTAAATATTCGGATACGGATACGGATCGTGAAAGTGAAAACCCGCGGGTACCCGACCCGGGGGTATAATATATAAATATTAAAAATATAGGGATAATTGTATAATATTTTAAGTTATTAACCCTAAGTTCCTAAGCTAAATCAATCCATCGGTCATCCATTCAGAGTTTAGCCTCAGCTTCAGCCGACACTCTTCCGTCTTCACTCATTTCATTTTCTTCTTCTGCTTCTCGACCTCATTTGTCCATCTCTTCAATTTTGTCAAGTTGAACTCAAGCCTGCAAGCCTCAGCCCTCAAGCAGACGATTCAACAGTGTTTCGATTTCGATTTCTCAAGCATCAAGCAGAAGCTGTAAAACGCCGACCTTCTTCATCTGCAAGTTTGGACCTTCTTTAATTGATGGCTATCCAGCTTCTTCAGGTGATGGTGTATATTACGTGTAGGTTTGGACTTTATTAAAATTTTGGTTGGAGTGATTACAGTACACTACTCCTTGCTCGATGCTAGGAGGTGTGAAATTGTTGTTACAATACCTCTTTTGATGGCTTTCTATATTCTTGGCACTTCCACTCCTTGTGTTAATATTGCTTCGACACAATACCTCTGTTTAGGTCCCTGTTATGTGTTTGGCAATTCTCCAGCTTCTCTATGCTCCTTGCACAATCAATCTGTTTTGTTAATCATTTTGATTACGCACTTCAGGCAGTTGCTTTTGGGTTTTGATAGGGTACTCCGTGACTCTGGCCTTCCTACTTAATACTACTGTGCCATAATACAGAGTGGTCAGGGGTTGAAGTACCATTCCCTAATGATGCAATTATCTTTTCTTTAATTTGTTTGTGTTTACTTTTGCTAGCTATCCAGTGATTGCAAAATGCAAAGCATACTACAGATATGTATGCGTATCAAACCCAAACGAGCTAGTATATAACCAGAGAATGACTATTGGAATTGTGGAATTGGTTTATAAATTGGTTTAAAGCAATTTATAGATTGAAAATAGGGGCGGGTACCCTATGACCCGCCCCTATTTTTCGGGTATCCGAGGATCGGGTACCCGAGGGAGCTCGGAGCGGATTAGGGTCAAAAAAATAGTGACCCGACATGTTAGGGTCGGGTCAGCCAATTACCGTTCGGGGCGGGTACCCGACCCGTGCCCACCCCTAATGTTCGTGGCTTTTAACCCGTTGGGATCTATTGAACGTTTTGTGAGATTTGGCCTGTTGGAACCTGTTGAGCCTTTTGCATTCTGATTTGTTGGTGGCTCGTTGTGGTTCGTTGGGACTTTTGTGGTTCGTTGAGATCCGTTGGGATTTTTATGGAGAAGGTGGAGTTTGTTTGCTATTTGTCTACTATTTATCGATGTTGGATACACGCCAAGATGGAGATTTGTTGAGTGTGTCTTTGTATTCCACATCGGAACTTTTATAAAAAAATATCTCCTCTTGGTGGTTATAAATATAGTGGACTTAAGTTAATTTAATTATGCTAAGGACACCAGCTCAAGTGCCATGTGCACCAGTGCAAGAGAGTTTTGGGGGACCCGCGCCCCAATGTGAGAGGAGTTTTGGTTTGGCATCAAACCAAAAGAGCAAGTCATGGGTATTTGGGTCATTAAGCATTTAGTGTTATTTAGGCTCTTTTGTGTTTTCAATTTAGGTGCCTTTTGGGCCTAGGAATTATTTCCTAAGGTTTTGTACTCTCTTCCTGTCATAGTAAATTTGCTACCTCTTCGCCCGTGGACGTAGGTTAATTTGACTGAACCACGTAAATTTCGTGTTTCTCTGTTTGACTTATTTGTTCTGTTATTGTCATTATTGAATTGACAAGGACCCTATTGTTCTCGCCGGTCAATTTCTTGGGACCAGACCTAACAGTATCGTCTTCCGGCAGGGCAAGGCCAGTCTGGAGAATCACAGAAAGACCCCGAGGTACCTATTTCTTTTATGAAGCAATAACCCCATGCATACGGACCATCTGGTGTACTTAGCCACCCACCTGCAATTCTAAACTTTTAGCAGCCCCCCAAAAATAGGATAAACATCCCTCCTTATCTTAGTCTTTTTGATGAATTTAAAGAATAATAACAGGAATACAGAGTAACGATAACAATGAAACGAAAAAATTTAAAAAAAAATAAAAATCAGCCCGACCTATAGTTTCATGTGAAGTCTGGCCCAAGAATGCAGCAATTTCTCTTTTACGAGTAGCAACGTCACCAGTTGTTCCAAAGCCATTGAAAGATTTTGCAGCAGTGATAAATGCAGTGTACGTATAGAACCCAATGCTGGAGCATCTTGGATCGTTATGATATTTCAACATTTGGTTGAAAAGGGCTGGACTGATAAGTGAGTCAACGCCACCTCCGCCACCGGGGGCCGGGGTGGGGTTAGATGGCGTAGGGGATGAACCACCACCGTTCTTGCATTGGCTCTGGCAGCCATTTGTGCAATAATCAGCTGTAGAGCCACACCAACCGTACTGGCTACAGCAGAGCCGATTTGGGCACAGAGCATTTCCAGCTTGTTTACCACATTGTTCTGCTAATGACGATGTTAGCAATGGTGCTCGAGATAATATAATAACAATCAAATTTCTCATCTTTCTTGCCTCTTCTCAATTTGTCCGAGTCTATGGATGAAGATAAGAGGGGATCGATTGCTGGTATTTAAAGGTTCAATCAATGGTTCGGTTCTGATTACAGATTACCTTAAAGAAAGTATACCAATTCAAAGTTGGTTGCTCAGTGATTTGAGTTTAGTTGGTGTACTTGACTTTCAGCATTCCTTAGCTCGTTGACTGGTTCTTTGCTATAAATATCATTATCAAATGGAAGTTTGCCGGGGAGACTGGGTTGACTTACTAAAATTAGCAACTGTGACTGTGGCTAGCCTGCAAAGGTGTACTTTGTGTTCAAGAGCGGTACTCAGTGACGTTCGAGAGAATTAGTTTGAGTTTGACACAGTCTAACGACGTACTTTATGGAAATTCTGCAATGATTGAATGGAAAGGGAATATATTATCCTTGGACGACTCTTTCCCAATATCTTTTCTTAGCTTTTTTTCACATTGTCTGATTTCAGCAGGATAATTGTTAGGGAGGGGAGGGGTGTAGTGATACGCCATCAATTTAGAGTTTACAATGTTATGTGACTGTCGTATGGTGGTGCTATGTGGTCATTGAGACATGCAATAACGATCATTTACTTAAAAATTCTACCTTAAACTGAAAACTTATTAGGTGGGAGTGAACCCTCGTCGCCTTGATTTTCTTGCAACCATTATGTTCATCAAAGAAACCTTAAACCTCCTCGTTTGAGATTTGAGACAGTGCATACTAGTGCAAATGACACAACCTATGTGTGTGCAATTTAGAATTAATAAACTTTTGTATGAATTAATTTCATACAAACTGTTTATTAATTACTTCATGCAAAATTTTACTTTTTTTTTTTTTTTTATTCTTCCCACCAGGGATAGTGATTTGTTAGTTGTGAATTACTTATCCAAGGAAAGCTGTGTGGAAATCAACAGAAAATTTTGCCCAAAAAGGAAAATTGAAAGTTATGAGAAGTTAATGGTTTATGCGCGCTGTGTAGTTTTATGATCAAACAAGCAAAGTATTCCATGAATGTAATTATAGAAATTTAAAAGTGACATAAAATATTCTTTAGCATGCCGGCTAGCTAAGTTTGAATAATAGTTCCCGGCGTGGGCATAGATCAATAACCATTCTGAAGCCACAGTATAGAAATTACGAGGAGTTCATGGCAGAATTTGAGAGATTATCATATGGTCCAAACAATAGAATGTTATTTATTCATTTATTATATGTAGTTTCTTTGGGGTAAACCCCAAAGTACATTTCTTGATAGCTCACAGCAGAGCAATTTATCTGGATTAAAATGTAAATTTTTCCACTGTAATGGGAAAAAAGACTCAGGCAAAAGCCCTCTGATTGTAACAATCCAGATTATTTCCATAGCCAATTCTAAACAAGTCACAGTATCTCTTATAGAACCCGATCCTATCGGCCACCTTATCATTAGGACCCTTGCCACACTCGAGTCCACCATTAATAATGTTGGTGATAACCTGGGACTCTACCAGCTGCCCTGTCAGCACTGGATGGAGTCCATCTCCCAGTTATGACATCGTGGCTTGAGGGCTTGTTCCCCTGCGGCGTCATCCAGAACCAAATTGCCGTCTTGAATGATATTACTGCATTTGTCGCCACCAAGTCTGGATTGTTTATGAGATCGACTCCGATTGCTTTGCCAGCTTTTCCATAGTTATAGTTGCTGCGATGGAAATATTAAAAATGACAACTGTTTTATGCAAGTCGACGGAAACTCTCGTTAATTTTGCACCTAAAAAGTACACCAGTAGTTGTTTACACACAAAAATTACACGACTTTAGTCCAATGGCACCAAGAGGGGCTAAAGTCACTCTTAGGAAGTGAGGTCGGAGGTTCTAACTTGTATATTTACTAGGGTTTATCTAGGAATACAAGTCCAACAGGTGCGGCAGTGCGTCCGTTTGGTTCTGAGGTGATTCAATTTCCCTAATTTCATATTGATTCACTTGGATCATTCCCATTCCTTGTACTATATGGGTAGGATTAATGAATTAACTGTTGACATTTTGAAAAAAGAAGCTATATGGGTAGGAATGGGTAAACTGTTGACATTTTTTTTAAAAAAAGAAGAAGAAGAAGAAGAAGAAAGTAGTTGTTTATGCACAAAAGTTGTATGTATGGACTTAATTTAATCATGTTTAATTTCCAAATAAATCCCAAATTAGTTTAAGAGTACTAGTGAACTTACTGAGTGAGTTGTATGGGTCCTCGGCCGTAGTATTGTCTACCAGCAGGGCACGGCCAGTCTGGAGAATCACAGAAAGTCCCTTGATTACTTCTTCTTAAGAAGACTGGCGTTGACTTGTTATGTCCATGGCGTACATAGGATTGAACAAGTCAATTCGAGGAACATTAGGATGAGATCATTACCAGAGTAAACGCCCAAATGCTAAATAGGAAAACTGCAAAAGTTCGACTTTTACTTATTTTCATAGAATGTTGAAAGCTTCGAATGTTTTATACTAACTTGAAAAAGAAAGTACTCCTATATATGTCTTTCCATGATCACGATTTTGATTCTTTTTCACCCACAAAATGTAACTTAATTACCAGCAGAAGTCATCGGCCTAGATGAACGATTTTGGCAATGATAGACGAAAAATAAATTTCTATTACTATTTATTCTATCAAATTAATTCCAAAGCATGCACCAAGTGGATTCGCATTCAGCATTTAGGACTAAACAGTGAACTAAAATTTGATCTTGATCATTAACTAAAAACTTCGTGGCTTGGAGTTAGCAAGGGATATCTAGATGGAGTCTCACCGTTGATGTTTTTCGTAAAAAAAAAAAAAAAAAAAAAAAAAAAAAAAAAAAACTAGAAAGGACTGTTGATTTTATAGTAGAATCCAACTTATACATTTTAGTATCATTAATTCTACATACAAGGTGGAATTGCTCTATGAGATAATGCCTTATTTAAACGAAAAGGATGAACAGGTCTGTCTTTCATTTTTTTTTTTTCTTTTCCCTTGTATAAATGCTTGGGAGTTGAAATTGGAACGGAAATTGTATAAAAGTAAATTGGATTGGGATTCTTTCCCCCAAAAAATTTATGTCTATATTGAATGGGATTCTCAAAACCCTTGGGCATTTGATTACAAATTAAGAATAGTTGCCATTATTTTCGTTGGCAGACGAATGATAGATCGACTTGTTAAAATGGTTGACGTTGTTGTGTGGAAATCTCCTCTTTCTTTGAAAAGAACATGCTTTACAATTAGACTGCTACAAAAACGACAGGAGAGTTTTCTTTATTAAATCTTTTTAATATTGGCCTTCGATTTTGATAAGTTAATTTTTTTGGAGCTCATAACCTTTTTTCCCCCTCTTTCCTTTTTCTTGCAAGACCGCAGCCATAGTGGAGAAATGTTGCCGCCTCAACCACACGCTGGCGTTGAACCATTGCATCCCTACCAAAAAAATACGCCCCACTCTTTCTTTTTTTTTTTATATCAAAGTTTTTCTCCTCCAAGACAAGCACACATGACACCATAACACACACACACACACACACACACACACACACTATCTCTCTCTCTACACATATGCAAGATCAAAGTTGCTATGGTTTTTAGTGTTACCATATGTCAAGAGAATGTTTTTGTTCTACATGAATGTTTTGGTAGGGTGGAAGGGGACTGGAAAAGGGGGCTTGGCTCTTAACTTTAGATTTTATGAGTTGAAAGATAAGAACTTTGCTATTCTATAAGTATAGTCTATTGTCAAAGCACTTCAAATAGATGTTTTATTTCATCTCTAATTTTCTCCAGTTAAACCCATGCCAAAACTTCCCTTCTCTCTTCTTTTGTATCTTTTCTTCTCTTTTCTTTTGAATCACAGAAGTTGATGAAATATTCAGCATAACCTCCCAATATTTGTGCATGGTTATGAAGTGTAGGGGGTCTCTAGAAGTTGGATTATAAATTTTGATGGAAGTGGAAAAGAAACGAATGAGGCACATAAAATGGTGTAGTCGCAGGAGATAAGAAGTTAGTTTTAAATCTTAAAGCTCAACTATTTTCCCTTTCTTTGGCGCAATTCTAAACTAGAATAGAAGAGCAATTAGGTAATTGATAGGGTGTTAATTGTTGGTTATTTTATTATTAATTTCCCTTTTTATCCTTGCCAAATATTGCTTAATTGTTAAATATATATTTATATTTGGTATTTGAATCTCATTTCAGGAATGGAGCAGAAAACTACAAAAATGAGGGACTTTTTGGAAATAATTGAGACTTCAAATAAGCCACAGACTTGGCCCACATGGTGATATACGTGGACTGCATTTCTTTTGCTAATTGGGAGTGTCTTGAGTACTTAAGAGTCCTAAGAGCAATGAAAGACGAAAAAGAGGAGGAAACATCAAGAGGCATTGCCTTTTGTACTTTGACTTGGAATCTGCGGCGGGGACCACGGGAAAGCATTGAGTCATTTTCAGCTTTGGAAGGAAAGAAACGTAGGGAGTTTGAGAGTTGTTTTTGTTCTTTATTCGTGGGGACCACTGGATAGATAGCTTTAGTCATTTTCTTTGGCTATATAAGGACAATCGTAAGAAAGGCTAGGGGGACCTTTTTTTTGGAGCATAGTTTAGTTTTTATTCTTCCGCATGGTTGTTCTCCATTAATGGAGGACTAACCTCTCAATTCTAGTCAAGGGGACAACTGACGATTTGGTTCGACAATTACTGTGAAATCGAATCTGTTTTAATTATTTTCTTCATTTATTGGTATTTATATGTTCCTTGATTTTAATTGCTATGGCCTTGTGTATGATTGATTAGTGCGCAATAATTAATTATTCATATAGGCTATTTTTGCTAAATATGGGTAATTGAATCCGTAATTGTTCGTTATCTCTACCTCAGTAGCAACTGGCGTAATTGGGTTTATGTCAGGGGAGCATATGATCTAATTTAAACAAACCCTCGTAGCGTGTTTGTTGGTTAGGATTGGGCCTTTCTAATTATTAATGCAATCTAGAAATTAAATCTTACGGTCGTACCTAGGGTTATTTTTGGGTTAGAAAAATAGCTAACGGTCGTACCTTAGCTATCGAGAAATTAAGGAAGGGTTGGTTGTTTATCGCGTGCATGACAACTATAACTAATCTACTGCTAAATGTTGGAATTATTTCTGCATCAATGATCAGTGCATGAACCATTTCTGATGTGTACCCTTGGCTAGAGTTTCCCCAATCATTTCTTTTAATTAATTATTTTCTGCAATTAATTTATTTAGTTAGCATTTAATCCAAAACCCCCCATACTTTGGACTCTAGAAGAAACGAATTATCCCCAGTCCCTGTGGATTCGACCCTACTCACCGCTATATACAAAATCTGTATTTTTCTCGAGTAGGTATTTATTATTGCACAGGTTCGGCACCTGTCAATTTTTGGCGCCGTTGCCGGGGACTGGTGCCAGATTAATTTGTTTCTTTTTGAGTTTATCTTGTTTTCATTTTTTTTAATCTATTTTTCTCTTATTTTTTATTATTATTATTATTTTTTTTTATGGCTGCTAACATTCCATATTTCGATGATAGACTGGATTTTGTTCCTGAATGGGGTTATGAGACTCATGTTTTTCCTAATGATCAATGGGCTGTTGCAAATTGTGGAACTTATTTTGACTCAAGTTATTCAACTGACACATGCCCCGTATTTCAAGATAATTTAAGTTCTCCACTTGATACTTTTGGAGATTTTCCATCCCAATATCAAACGCAGTATGACCCTTATTCAAACGGGTATGATCAAGAATGGTGGGATAATTCCAATTTTGATTATGCGACCGGGCCAATGGATTTTCAACAGCAAGAGTCTCAGCAATCGTCCTCCGTGTCAGGTATGTCTCTTGAAGAAATGATAGGTTTACTAATTGCTAATTCAAATCGATTTCATCAGGAGACACAAGCGAGCCTAAATCGATTTCATCAGAAGACACAAGCGAGCTGTCGCGACCTGGCGGATCAACTGCGTCAATTGACAGCCAGGATAGAGCGATTAGAGGCTCATCTTGAAGAATTGCCCTCACAAATCAATATCAATCTTGAGGAAGATGAGAGTGCAATTGCCCGGCCAAATGACATGGAACTGCAAGAGTTTCAAGAAAACGGATTTAAAGATGCAGTTGAAAAGGAAGCTGAAGTGCAAGAAATGAGACTCCAGGATCAACTCATTCAAGTGAACGATTCTAGTGAACAATCTCCAAATGCGGTGACATCTTCTCCACTCCTTAATCAATATTTTCCTGACTCCTATTCTTCAACTCCTGTTACTGAAATTGATTTTATTATACCAGAAAATTTAATATTTCATGACAGGAATAAGTTAAGAGTGGAGATGGCAAAATATCTTGAACCAATGAATGTGTGTGATGGAGGAGTGAGTGGAGAATGCAGATCATTGTTGACTTGTTTAGCGCCATTTACTAGTCCATGGAAGCCCGTAACTCGTGTGCCCAAGAATTACTCCATCTATGAGGGTTACCAGGATCACGTTGAAGATGAAGCATTGAAGCGAGCCACAAGATTTTATCCTCCATGAGCAAAACATAATAATGTCTAGCCAAAGACATTAAAGAAGGGCGCTTTTTGGGAGGCAACCCAAATATTGGTTTTATTATTTTTAGTTGTTCAATTCTTTCGTTCTGTTGTTTCTCATTTGGATAGTAGTTGGTCTTGATATTTTTCTCCACTGTGATGAGGAAGTGAAATCTTGGCATGCCCACGCGGTGTTTAGGTCTCCTGAGATCAGAGGACGAACACCAATCTTGGCACGCCCACGCGGTGTTTGGGTCTCTTGAGGTCAGTGGATGTTTTGTAATCTTGGCATGCCCACGCGGTGTTTGACGACCCAAAACATGAAAAAAAAAAAGAAAAAAAAAAGTTTCAAAATTTCACATTGAGAAAATTCAAAAATTCAAAAGGCATTTTTCTTTTTCTTCAAAAATTCAAATTTTGGAATTTCAAATTCAGGAAAAAAATTTGAAAAAAAAAACCCCAAAAAAGTAAAAAAAATTAAAATTCAAAAAAAAAAAAAAAACTATTTTTTTTTCTCTTTTCTTTTTCTCTCTTCTTTTTCTTTCTCTCTTTCTTCTTTTTCTTTCCTTCTTCTTCTTCTTTCTTTCTTCCTTTCTTCCCCGCTGCCCTGCTTCCTTTCTCTTTTATTTCTTCTTTCGGCTGCCTTCCATCCGCCACCACCCACTTCGCACGCCACCACTGCCCACGCTCCACAGCTGCGGCCACCACCTCGCACCACCGCGCGCCACGAGCTCCACCACGCGCGACCACCATCAGTTCTCCTCCAACTTCATCCGCGACCAGGGCCACCATCGCGCGCTGCTCGCGCGCACGAAGTTTCGCCCACCGCCTCTTCCTGCCAACCGCCGCCACCTCCCTCTGCTCTCTCTCCACCTCGTCACTAGCTCACGGCCAACAGCTCCTCCGCTGCTCCACTGCTCCACCACCCATGGCCATCTGCTTGGTGTCTCTGGTATGAGGCGGAGGTACTTGTTTTTCCCAAATTATTGGCCAACTTTCTAAGCTACATTACTTAAA